GCTCAGCCCTAAGAACATTTAAATAATAGCTCAAGATTCAAGCCTAAAGTATGTTTGTAAGGGTATCTCCATTACCTCTGTTTTACTGGAGAACTAGCAGTAATCCCTGTGCAGAGATACTTAGTGTCTCTGCTTCAGAATGAGGTGAAGAGTTTGACCTCTTCATGTTCCTCCTGCTCGATCACAGTGTAATCCCTCTAGGAACAAAACACTGTCTCCTTCGGAGCAGGATGCTGAGCACACAGTCTCTCACACACAACCTCTCACACACAGCCTCTCACACACAGTCTCTCACACACAGTCTCTCACACACAGTCTCTCACACACAGAAATGCAGAAATGTGAGTCAGCACAGTAAAACCTGCTAGGATGAGTCTTACTTTCACACAGGTTTAAAGATAGAAATCCTGCTCAGCATCTTTCTCCTATGGGTCCACCCTTCAATGCTAACAAAGCGACACTCCTCCTGACTGAATGAATTTAACGCAAGTTGTGATCAACATTCTTTCTTAGCGTGGAACTGGATGATCTGGTTTAGCTCGACTTTTGCTTTGGTATCTTGTTGTTCTGGTGGTCCTGTTTATCACAGATGATGAGAAAGTAGGGATGGATTTATAATATATTTTTGGATTTAACATGTTGAATGCTTTAGCACCTCTTAATAAATCATTTCCAGACTCTGAAGAGGTACAGGCTTTATATCTAGCAAATTGTGTTTATAGACTTTTAGTCTTTTTCTGCAGCCGTGTAACTTTTGCAAACGACAAAATACTTTGCAGTCTTGTTACCGAGCTGCTCCTAAACTTTCTAAATAACGAATGAACAAGAAGAAAGAAAATCAAACGCCCAAAGTCACACTTGTTGCATTCTATGCAATTTACATCATGCAGTGAAAAATAATGAAATGAAACGTCTGCATGTATTGTTTTGTGTTCATTTGTTGTAACATTGTTCATGTTTCCTTCTTGGCCAGGTCGCTCTTGAAAAGAGATTTTAATCTCAATGAGACTGGTTAAATAAAGGATATATACAGTATATATATACAGTAGGGCAAAAAAGTAATTTAGAAAGCCACCAATTGTGCAAGTTCTCCCACTTAAAAAGATGAAAGAGGCCTGTAATTTTCATCCTAGGTATACCTCAACTATGAGAAACAAAATGAGAAGAAAAAAATCCAGAAAATCACATTGTCTGATTTTTAAAGAATTTATTTGCAAATTAAATTATGGTGGAAAATAAGTATTTGGTCACCTACAAACAAACAAGATTTCTGGCTCTCACAGACCTGTAACTTCTTCTTTAAGAGCCTCCTCTGTCCTCCACTTGTTAACTGTATTAATGGCACCTGTTTGAACTCGTTATCAGTATAAAAGACACCTGTCCACAACCTCAAACAGTCACACTCCAAACTCCACTATGGCCAAGACCAAAGAGCTGTCAAAGGACACCAGAAACAAAATTGTAGACCTGCACCAGGCTGGGAAGACTGAATCTGCAATAGGTAAGCAGCTTGGTGTGAAGAAATCAACTGTGGGAGCAATTATTAGAAAATGGAAGACATACAAGACCACTGATAATCTCCCTCGATCTGGGGCTCCACGCAAGATCTCATCCCGTGGGGTCAAAATGATCACAAGAACGGTGAGCAAAAATCCCAGAACCACACGGGGGGACCTGGTCAGTGACCTGCAGAGAGCTGGGACCAAAGTAACAAAGGCTACCATCAGTAACACACTACGCCGCCAGGGACTCAAATCCTGCAGTGCCAGACGTGTCCCCCTGCTTAAGCCAGTACATGTCCAGGCCCGTCTGAAGTTTGCTAGAGAGCATTTAGATGATCCAGAAGAGGATTGGGAGAATGTCATATGGTCAGATGAAACCAAAATAGAACTTTTTGGTAAAAACTCAACTAGACGTGTTTGGAGGAGAAAGAATGCTGAGTTGCATCCAAAGAACACCATACCTACTGTGAAACATGGGGGTGGAAACATCATGCTTTGGGGCTGTTTTTCTGCAAAGGGACCAGGACGACTGATCCGTGTAAAGGAAAGAATGAATGGGGCCATGTATCGTGAGATTTTGAGTGACAACCTCCTTCCATCAGCAAGGGCATTGAAGATGAAACGTGGCTGGGTCTTTCAGCATGACAATGATCCCAAACACACCGCCCGGGCAACGAAGGAGTGGCTTCTCAAGAAGCATTTCAAGGTCCTGGAGTGGCCTAGCCAGTCTCCAGATCTCAACCCCATAGAAAATCTTTGGAGGGAGTTGAAAGTCCGTGTTGCCCAGCGACAGCCCCAAAACATCACTGCTCTAGAGGAGATCTGCATGGAGGAATGGGCCAAAATACCAGCAACAGTGTGTGAAAACCTTGTGAAGACTTACAGAAAATGTTTGACCTCTGTCATTGCCAACAAAGGGTATATAACAAAGTATTGAGATGAACTTTTGTTATTGACCAAATACTTATTTTCCACCATAATTTGAAAATAAATTCTTTAAAAACAAGACAATGTGATTTTCTGGATTTTTTTTCTTCTCATTTTGTCTCTCATAGTTGAGGTATACATAGGATGAAAATTACAGGCCTCTCTCATCTTTTTAAGTGGGAGAACTTGCACAATTGGTGGCTGACTAAATACTTTTTTGCCCCACTATATATATATATAAACATACAAAATGTGTCAAATATTGTTGGGAAATGACTTTACTATATAAAAGATTGCTGATGCAATGGTGTGTCTGTAGCAGGGTGTTTGTCCCTGATTACCAGCATGCACTCACAATGACCGTGAGTCAGAAAACACGCACAACAAAACAATACAATGCTGTGTATGAGACAGTCTCCTGATTGGCTAGCCGTTACCCTGCTCTCTCATAAATGATACATACAGTACTGTTTCCCTGTTGCCAGGATGGTTGCCTTGACTAAGGTAAGCTACAACTTTGCCAGAACCCCATGCGGCAACACATGCTAGATATAAGAGGCATGGAAACAAAAGGAAGCCCAATATTGTTAGTGCCTTTTGTATTCAATTATAGTGACACATTGTAGCTTAACATCCCACTCTTCCTTTAAGAACCAGGAACAAAGATAACATCTAAAAACTACAACTACGGTGCCATCAAAGTTAAACGGTTCCACTGGTGTAACATCTGCTTTGGTGCATTTTAGTCTTGCAATCACTGCATTATTCCTCTCAACTGTGCTGACATTTTGGTTTTAGGACACAAGTCTTTCCTGTTCTTTAAAATGTAACCGTAGCACACAAAATGCATGTTGCATCATTTATAAAAAGGTATTCAAGTAATTAACATTTAAATAGCACCCCAATACATTAGCTAACAACACATCTCTTTTCTCTTCTTTCCCTCTCTCTCTCTTCTGTTTTGCGTAAACTGTGATGCTCCACTTACAAATGGAGCCCATCACCATAGCAACTAGTTAAGGAGGTAATTAAGACACCTTTGGGAGGGAGACGAAAAAAAATATGACAACAGCCGTTATTCCTCAGAGAACGGCCTGGAGTCTTGTGTAATGTAGCAATACATTCAGCAGGTGTCTGCCTTCAGGATCATGTTGTTAAGTTCCAATTCTCTTTGAAAAGTGTGATTTCTTCAGGACAGGAAAACATTTAAAAACATAATTAGATCTTTGAATCTTATTGGAATTCTAATTGATGTTACTTATAAAATAGTTTTAATCATGCAAAACATAACTTTTCAAGCATAGCACACTCAACATATTGTTTGATTATTTATCTTCTCTTGATAAATCAGAAAAATTAACTGCCTATTCCTTTAAGTGTCACAATATTTCAGTATCATTTCCTCAGCCACTACAAACACTGTGTCTGCATTTCAGTCAGTTATTGTAACACAAGGTTCCCAAATGGTAGACAAAATATTTGAGTATACTAAACAACCGGATGCTGGTATGCATCTGAACATACCAGAACCAGTGTCAAGTGTAAGCACTGTATGTTAGTTACTATATTCAGATGTTTCTCTGTACTGGCTATGAAAACAAATATACCTCTGGGACAAGAAATGTAATCTTTCCCGGCATCATTCCCATCACAAGACATTTGATGCAGCAATACAATGTATGCCTCTGAGGGTTGTGTCTCACAAACAGCCTGCTGTGTGAGGCTTGTGTCAATGACCTGTAGTACACTGACATGTATACCTAGTTTGTCTAGTGTCTCATGTGAGTTGGATGTACATGGAGGGAGTGGGAAGAAAAACAGGCAGAGGAACATTCCCAATGTTTGCTGAGGCGGTTAGCCTGATAGGAGAATAATTCAACCTACGCCTTGCCAGAGATAAGAGCTGATGGTGACCCTTATACTAATCTTTCTCACACAATGTTTCACACACTGTTCTTCTTTCTCTATTATAGCTTTATTCGTCTCCACGTACATTTCACCTTGGGCAGATCTGACAGTCGCACTACTATCATACTACGTAACTTAACTAGCACAGCTTGCTAATACATTTAGGAAGAGCCAGATGACTAACAGCAGTTACAAATCCATATTTCACTCAACTGTCATCCTTTGTGTTTTTAATTATAATCCACATTACCATTGCAACAACGTGGGACTGGCTACAGAAGTGCCGAGGAGAACCCATCACTTATGCTACGCTACCGTGAAGTGTTTGCTTGCTAACATTAGCACTTAGAGTCTAGCAGTTGTCTTAGCTTGACAACTCTGAACTTTATTAACCTCAGCTAACAGTTTTAATCAAGAATACGGTAATTAAACAGGTATACGGGTTGTTGCTTCTCAATAACAACACACACCGAGCTGACAGCTCCAACTCTGACAGGACGTCAGGAAGCTTTTTGACAGCTAACATTAACGTTAGCGGGCGGGCTAAAATAAAATAAGGTGGCTAGCACGTAGCAACCTTTCTTATACACAAAATGCAAAAAGTATGGCCTAGAAAAACAACAGGAGAACAAAGCCAGAGCAGCAAAATGTCTGTCTTCTTACCTGTGTGCGCAGAGTGAATGTTTTGACAAGTCCAGGGATGTGAGCAAGAATTTAGTGAAGCCTTGACACAGAGGCGGAAGTGCCTGACACAGGGGGGCGTGGTTCGATAAATGCCAGACCTGCCGTAGCCAATCAGGTTTAAGGCATGGATGTATAATAAGAAGGCCCAATCCCAAACCACTCCCTCGACCCTAGCCCTCCGTGACGGAGTGAACTCCGTCTGTAGCCACACTCGCAACTCAACGAGGCTCCCTCCTGTCAGATGGAGGGAGTAAATACAGCAGCAAGCTTTGGGACGGCCTCTCCTCTCTCGGCCAGCAAACAGGAAATGCCGTAACTGTATGTAAGCAAACGATTCAAATCAGCAATCTCTTGGAAATAAACATTTTAAATTATAACTAAAATAAAACTCCAAACATCTTTCATTGTGTTTTTTGTTTAAAGGGCTCTTTTAGTTTTAACCTGATGTTTTCATAAAGCCTCTTAGTTTTTTGCAACAGTCTACAAATATACCACAACTTTAATAATAAATGCCACATTTACGGCTTTTTTCTAGACTAAACTACAGTATGATCCTAAGTTAAACATATAGGCAATCATGAGGTTTATTATCATCCCGTAGTTTATCAGTGGATGTTGCTGGACTANATGAGGTTATTATCATCGTAGTTTATCAGTGGATGTTTGCTGGAACTACTTGTTAACAGCTTGTTTCCTGACACACACAGCGTGACTCCGGTCAGGTAGAGACCGGTCTCAAGTCAGCACCGCTGCAGACTCGCTGTTTGAGGGCTTGATAACCCACTCCCCCTCCACACCGCTCCACACTCGTTGGGTTGGAACAGCCCTTAATATGGCGGACCCTCCGCGTGAACGCGCAAACGGAGGGGTAGGGTGTAGGGGTAGGGTGTAGGGGGCGGTTTGGGAATGGGCCGAAGTTTAAGGCAGGAAACCCTTGCCCAATAACAATGCACGTTAATTGGCCAGTTATGGTCAAACTACTTAGTGCATAATGTGAGCTATACATGATGTTTAAAATGTTTATTTTATACGACTTATGTATGTTTAATAAAAAGCATAACATCATTAGGTGTCAAAACAGGATAAATTAGAAATGTTTTGTTGATAATGTTCCATTATGATTAATTATTGAATCAAACACCTATTTGTAAACTTTAATCTTAATAATATTTCAAACTATTTGGTGATATTGGTGGGCAAAAATCCAGCCATTTGAGTTCTGTAACCTAGCATTGGGGATCACTAGACACCACACCTTAATGGTTTCCTATTTCATACTGTCCATATTATCTCTTATGTAGATTAACTGATCATGATGAGAATAACTGGAATTCTTGTATGTGCGCAGGGTGGTTTTGTGGATGTTTCATACAGTTGACTATGACAGTGATGGTGATAATACCAAAAAAATTGTGTTGATCTGTAGATTGTTAAAACATTTGGAGAAAGTGGTTCATATTAGAGTTTTGCATATTAATATCCTAATCTAGTCTTTTACTGGGCACCTAAATAGATCAAAAGATAATGTTTGATTATGTTTTTTTGAGAGAAAAGTCTAGCATTTACCAATTTTTTACTTCGCACACAACATGTTACTTTATAGTTCTACAGTATAACATGTAGCACTTAGTTGGTGGGTATTTCAAGTCCTATGAGACATCAGCTTGTCCCGTTTGTTTTATCTCTCTCATGAATTATGTATCCTGTCAGTCATTGATATGTGTGATACAGCTGACTGCCTACTTGGAGACAAACACAGGCACTAACAAGAATTGGGCATATGGTCTACATTGAGATTGTATTGCAGACACTCTTGGTCTTTCCGCGGCCATGTTCTCCAGTTTATAAGTTAGGATATAAGTCTGAAATATCTTAATTTGTCTTCAGGGAGATTCCTGTATGAATAAATATCCCTTTTTGTTTGTCAACCCGTCTTTTATAATGCATTAATTGGATATTTCTTGTAAATTGCATATTATTTTTATTTCTAATAGGCAACTGTGAACCTGTACATCCCGTCGAACAACTCCTTGCAAATTCTTCCTTTCATTTTCCTTCCTTCAACAATTGTACATATTTACATTTTCCAATTGTACTTTTTGTATATTTGTATTCAGTTTTTTATATATGTTCTAGTTATGTTTCTTGTCTATGCACTAAAACACCAAATACATTTCCTTGTAACCCACATTGCAATTGCCCGGAATAAGCTTTTAATCAGTTTCATCACGCTTTTTAATTTTCTGTTCTCACTCACTCAAAGCTTTTTTCTAAGAAGAGTCATTAGACACACAATAAAATAGTAATTCCTGGTCTGTTTGTCATTAACAAACTGGGTATTCTAGCTGTTTGCTTTGTTAGATCAGCGGTGGTCATCCTGACTCAACAACAACAGGCATCAAAGTCTAAGGACAAAGTACAAAATTCTGCTTGCTTTTAAAACTCTGGCTGCACACAGAAAAGCAGATTTTTTTTAATAATGATTTGCTGTTGTGGGCCGAATCAGCCAGACAAGCAGTGTATCTATTTTCCCATCATTACATAACAACCATGATGGTGTGATGAGAGGAAAAGAAAGGGGATCAGAGGATCGGATGATAAAAAGCAGGAGAGGAGGAGGGAACAGTGGCGCAGAGGAAAAAAATGTTCTCTATTCAGGCTCACAGTGGGACACAGAGGCCTGCTTGTACACAGCAACCCACACACAAAGACACAGTCATGTACTGCACATACAGATGCTCACATAAGCATGCATAATACACAAACGTGAACACAAATAACATTTGTTGAAAATATTCTGCCGGCCAAACACAGAGACTCAGAATAATTACTACTATTGTTAACATGATGACATATGGGAGTTAGACAAAAAGAGATGTGAATGACTCACTCATTATGAATGTTTGAAACGTTCAAAAAGATCATTCCTTATAATGGAAAAAAAGCATTCATTTTGAAGGGAAAGCAGCTGGTTAAATATTTGTGTTTCTCTTTCTTTCAACATCAATCTCTGCATCAGATGAATCATTTGAATATTTTACTTCCTGGTTGCTGTGCTTGCCAAATTGCCTCCAAATATAAAGACACTTTTTATTTTTGTATGTCTTTATTGTAGACACACTTACAATTATGTCAAAACAGAAAAGAGACAATGGAACAAAAAGAACATAACAATCCCAGGGCATATGGTGAAAGTAACATATGTTTTAAAAAAACAAGGAGACTTGAATAAAGAACAAAGACATTAATAATATGAATTGAACCGAAAAATGTGTTAAATTGTAGATGAACTCAAAGTACTTCCTTAATTAGATACTGTTAAGATGAAATGGTGAAAACATGACTTTGTGTGTTTGACATTTTTGCCAGTAAAAATGATTGAAATTGACATCCTGCTGAACTTGTTTTTTGTTTTTAAAGTAATAAAGCAATTCCTTTGCCCCCAGCCCAACTTTAAATATTGGGGCTTAGTGTCATAATAAACCTAAAATGTGCATTGATGGGTTTGTTGCAACCTTTGCTTCCTCCTATGTCGGCTCACCACTAGATGGAGGTAGAACATAGAGACACTTTGCTCTCAAATGGTCTCCGCACCCCTGTCCTTTAATCTGGAGGATAACTGATATTTTATTTGTTGATTTTATTTGTTGATGTCCTGTAAAAGCTGGCACTATTATTCTTAAATAAAGTGGTTGTGATGCTATGTCACTTAAGACTTCCAATAGACTCATGCTGAGAAGCATGTCGTTATTCAAACGCATGCACACGTTATCCAAAATATTGTGAGGTATACAATTATTAAACCACAATGGTAATATAGTTTAGTGTTAACATATAATTATATTTTACATCTACAAAAACGGAGTGATCAATCATGCGACTTCCACAAAATGATGTGCAAATGTACATTGCATTTACATGACCACGTCTGCAGATGGCTATAAATAAGTGAAAGATATAACAAGTAAACTGGTATTCAGGACTTTGAAGTCATGTTTATAATGACACACTTAATAGGTTAATTGCATCTACGTAATTGGATTTTCAGTAAATTAAGTTTTCTGACAATGTAATATGATTAATATTTTACTATAGCTAAGCATCGATATGAAACATCCCCCCCCCCCAGAGTTTCCTAGGTTTGTAGTGCCTTGCTTAAGGACACCTCAACATGGCAGAGGCTTTGACCCTCAACCACACTTGATTACATTTGAATTGACAGCCAAACTGCTTTAAGCCAATCTGAACTTTAAATCCAATAATGAGGCTTTTTAAAGCCAAGATATTAATCATATTCACATTTGCACTCAATGTATTATCTTAAATGATGATAAGGGTTCACTCACTCAAACACACACACACATTGCACAATTCGAGGTGCCCCAGGCGAGATCCAGAAGTGTCAGCAGGGGGTCTGTGATTTGATATCATTTGAAGGCCATCTACTGAACCCAGCAGGGAGGGAGCTCTCAGGAGAAGTGTGATTCTAGATCAATCTGGCCACGAGACTCACTTTACTCACAGGAGACAAAGCTTCCCCTTCTGACTCTTGCAGGGATTCAAAGATAATCAGTAAAGCTGACAACACTGCTGCAGAACCCCTTCAACACCCAGAGATGCGGGCAAAAATGCATATTAATAAAACATGTTCAACTGATAAGAAATTAAGAAATGTTCGGGCTAAAAATGATTGCCTGCAAGTGTTTGAATTATGTGTGTGAGTGCTTAAAGAATTTGACGAACATTGAGGAAACATTTAAAGGAACAGTTTAATAACATTTGGGAAATAAGCTCATTTAATGTCTTGACATGAGTTAGATAAAAAGATTGATGTTGCCCTGTAAGCAAACCCTAGCATCAAAACTGGGAATAGGAGATAAAATGCTAGCCTGGCTAATTCAACGAAATAATAATAAAACATTTATAAAAATTGAAAAGATTATTCCAGCAAACCTACAGTAATGTTTCATCCTCTTATAGTTATTCCTGCTTGGCATCCTTTTTAATTTACTTTCCGATTTAATGACATCAATTATATAATATATTTTAAAAATCTAGTTTCAGAAAATAATTGCAAGCAG